ATAGTCTACCGGATTTATCAAAAATTCAGGGCCCAACAAGGCAACATATATTTATCATTCCACAATTTCAAAATTTGGGTTCAAAACAAAACAATGACATACGGTTTTTTACATTTCCCAAAGTTTTGAGTTTCGAACATGGCAAGGTGCAAGTCCGAGTTCCAAGTCCACTACTTTCCAAAACATCAGAACACCATACTCAACGGATCTAATGATTTCAATAGGTGAGATTTCTCATACAGACACTAATATAGTTCCCCAGTCGGGAAGAATCCCAAATCAGCAGCTCCTGCCGAGAGATACAAATATTGGTAAGGGATCACAAAAGTCCCAAGATAACAAAAGATTTCTTTTAAACTCCAAAAGGAGTAAAAGGAATGAGATTTCTAAAGATAACAATTGACAGGAATTACACACAAAAACGATTCAGCACCGCATGATGTGCTTTTTCGAGACTCGATTATCCTCTTTAAAAGATTTATGCGTAATCTTTAAGGTGGAAACATACTTCTTGATGTTGCCGTCGACTTCACTTCATGGAAATGATTCTTCTTGACTACCTTCATAGCTGTGTATATCTTCGCGACATGGATTTGAATGTCCGCAGGATTTCTGTCACGCCGAGTTGCTCCGAGAGATGCGTCTGAGTCCTTTGTATCGATCTGCTAGGTGTTAGCTTCCAAGATCGTCCGTCTGTAGTTACATTTGCCTCGATCACAGTTGAATGTGTATCGTCCTTCTTCCTCATAGTTAAGCTTTCTTTCGAGAGTTGCTTTGGGATCCGCGTTCTAAGATATTCGCATTGACTAAGAGGTATCATGAAACAAGATTTCCAAATTTACTAGAACAAATCAGAAGATAAAATTTCGATCCTATCGCAAGGAAGGGAAAATCTCGTGAAATTTCCAAAGTAAAAAATTCAACAACCAAGAGGAGTCTCGAAAACACAATTCACCATGACTACCATGCAAAAGGAAATAGTCAAGGGTAAGCGAAAAACACTTGGGCGGAAAAAGCGCGAATGGTAAGTCAAAGGGCTACAACAGGTCAAATTTACACATTAAACCTACTGTCAATAAAAAAAAAAAAAAAAAAAAACAGATTGCACGACGTTCGAACATTGGGCGTGTCTCTTCGCATATGAAAGATATTTAGCTGAAACATGCACCATAGATACCGAGGAGACTCACGCATCAGAAACGGGCCAAAACAGCAACATGGACAGACTCACGCATCGGCAATTAAAACGAAAACTGATTTCGCAACGATCGAATCCTCGACACAGTTCTCAATATGGTAAACACTCGACTCTTATACCTCATGAAAGGCACAGGTTGGTATAAGATTTACATGAAGAAATCGAAAAGGGACAACAGTATTTCGGGGCTAAAAAACACAAATGAAACTAGGTCACTTACAAGATCGAGCAACAAAAACTGGACGCACAATTGCTAAACTTGGCCAAAATTTTTAAAAAGAAAATGATATCATCACGCTTCTTGCTTGGGTTGGAACAAAGGAGTTAAACTTTAATTCATCAGAAGAGTTCAAAAGCATTTAGTCGAGTTTCAAAAGTCAAAATAACGATGAACAACCACCGCTTCAAGGGTCACGAAAATGGTTTCACTCTTCACACTTGACGAATCTCAATCCACACGAGGTAAGAGTGTCGGATAACAAAACAAGGCTCCGATTTACATGATTTAATCACAGTGACTCGAGGCTCGATTTGAAATCGAGAGTCCGGATATCCACGAAAAATTCAAGAAAATAACCAACAGATTTTCAAATCCCACCAATGAAAAACGAACGAATTAAAACAGGGGAAAATCAATTATCATGTCTTTCACCACGGATCCATAAGCAAAAGGGATTGGATCATCCACACGAACCTGACACCTAGACCCCACTCCCGGTCCTCATTGACTGGGTCCTAACACGAGTCTAATGGTCTTATTGATAACGGTTACAGACTCCCGAATAATCCACACATGGGATTTCTTCGGTCGTCTGCTCCCTTCACTTAAGCCCTTCTCCTTACGAGATGGCATTGCGAATGGTCCTCACTTGAAGACACCGAATTTTACATCGAGAGGACTGCCACAATAGAACTCAGCTAGATAACATCATATCGAATTCTAATAACAAAAATCTCAAGTCAGATCTTAACTCTATACCGCTAGAGTTCAAGTCTGTACATACGGAGGTCTACAACTCTTCTAGAGTTCACTATTAAATACTAGAGTTCAATAATGTAGAAGTAGGAGGATAAATTCCTAAGCCCCAATTAACAACATATTCATATCACATCACGTCACAAATAGTTTCATTGCTACTTGAGTACAAATCCACATTTCACATTATAAGTATTTTCATTGATACTCATTTAAACACATACCTTAAGCAGCGCGGCATGACGAAGACGAGTGGTCTTAACATAAGGTCTAAGCACATAAACATGTTTTCACATACATGCAAGTCTACAGAAACGCAGGCTGGCTTTGATACCAAACTGTAACGCCCCAATCGATTTCTTTTAAAGAAAATCCATGGCTTTTCCAAAAATCAAGGTAAAAGTTTTTGAAATTCATTTTTCGAATCATAAACTTTTGGCGTTACTCATTCTTTTAAAAAACACAGTTCAAGTCATATCTGAACTACGGGGATTCATTACCCGATTTTCTAACGGTTTTCATTAACCACATAAACAGTAAACGTAAACATCAGGATATTCTCAACCATATATCAAGAAAGATTTTTCAACATAAACCAAATCCAAATGTTTTCAAAATAAACAAGTTCCAAATCCAATCCAACATGTTCAATACCAACATAAGTTCATGAGAAAACGGAAGCAATTAAATAAGCATAATAAATAGGCATGACCACCACTCGCCTTGTCTCGTCACGCGCCACTGCTTAACCTGCATCCGTTAAGAGCAGGTGGGAGTGAGCATAAGAGGATAAATAATGCTCACACTATGCAATGCACATTTCATAATATGTTAAATAGGCATGGTCGCAGCATGAACATAAACAATATAACATATGTCTCATCTGCATCATAACATAAACATAAATACTCCTGTGCACATCTTTCATAATAGTCGCCGAAAGGGGATTCATTACCGTAACGGCGAGAGTACGTGCCACGCAAGGACACGACCTTTCATAATAGGTCATTAAGGAGACTTGCCTCGCAAGGCAACCGTATTACATCGACGGGGACAACTGTACCGATGGTCATCATAATAGCTCACATCGATAGGCTACATATTCACGTTCATACATAGATCACGCCAAAACCGTAAACATATTTAACACACATTGCACAGGTAATTTTATAATAACAACCCACCTGGTAATTCGGATTGATGATAACAACTTTCAGAAAAGACGTGGGTCGAGGCTTGACTCCTCAAACACCTACATTATGTCAAGATCCTACAATCAATATCTTGACTAAAACGGAAAACACAAATCAGACTTAGTCGAACTTGATTCGACTAAGTTGTTCGTGAAGTCCTGTGGACATTGGAACACTTAGACTCGGCACTATACTCGACCAAACCACATATGGGGAGTTCACATAAATCCAACTAAGGATTGACCAAGTCAAACACTCTACAAAAGGAAAAGTAAGTCGATTACAGATTTTAACTTAAAAATCATATTTGAAAATAATAACCAATAATCACATAAAATTAGTTGGTCAGGTTGCCCTATGAATTAATCTCTGAAATTTTAACCAAAATTACACCTCCAGTATCTACGAAAACCACCAAGTTTCAGCCTCAAATTCAAAGTACATTATTTTATAAAATTCATACAAGATAACAGCAAAACCGAACATGAATTTACATCTAAACCTAATGAATGAATCAGGACCTGATATTTTAACGTCACAAACTACAGCATGAGAGTGACAACATGTAAAAATTTCAGCCCTGGACATTAACTGTACTAATTTTAAAAATTCATACAAGTTTCAGCAGTTATCGAATTTTAATTAAAACCGAACCAAATTGAACTCCAAAATTTTTCATCTTTTAACAGGATGATCTACACATAAAACAAGCATCTCATCCAAGTTTCAGAATTTTTCAACAACTAACCGATTTATCATAAATAAAACAACTTTCTGCAGAATCAGCAAACAAATTATTAACCCTATCAAACTTAGTCCAAAAATTCTAAAAATTATACATTGCATATAAACATGGCAGGGGCATAACATACTTAAATTTCAGCACATTTGAAGCACGAACCAATTTGTTAAGCATTTAACATGATTCTGTCCAGAAATCACTTTATTTATTAAAAATAGTTACAGGCCTTTAAAAATTACGAAATTTTTTCACAAGCCTGGTAATCAGCATAAGACATGGCCCTCAAAATTTCAATGCAATCCGAGTAGTGTGATATTTTTAATAATTTAAACACTAAAACAGCGAAATTCGAGCTCGACAATTTAACACATAATTCATAACATATAATTTCTCGTCCGAGGCCTTCTCATAAGGCCAAGGACTCGACATGGTTCCAAAATCCACCGACTTACACGAGTTCCGAGGTCTCGCTCGATTCCTTAAAATCGAAGAGATCTCGAAAAACACAAACACACGTAAATCCGATTTCACATAATATCACATCGCGTATATTAAATCGCAAAGAGCACATCACGTAAATAAAATACATAATTTAAACCAATATATGCGATTTAACGAGACGGGGTTCGAGTCTATGTACCGTTCTCGGGAAACGATACGTAAGGAAGGGTCGAACGAGGGACGACGGTACGTCGAAGGCGGCTCGCGGCGGCGGCAAACGGCTCGACGGCTGGAGCTTCGTCTCGCGGAGAAAAGAGCAGCGGCTCTTCTCGGTCTGCTTCTTGCTCACAGATCATGACGGATGAGGGACGGCTGGCTGGAAGTCGCTGCTCGACATCGCCAGAATTCAGGTGCTCTTGTCGTCGGAAAAACACAGCTCCTTCATGGCTGTTAGTAACTCAGCCGTGAGTGGCCAGAAATCGTCCGCTGCGATTCGCCGGCAACAAGGGCTTTCCCCAACGGTGGTTCGCTGCGTGAGGGGTTTGTCGTTGGTGGTTCAACGCCCGGTACTAGGAGCTCGCAATAGTCGGAAGCGGCTTGCTCGGGGTGGAAGAGGCTCGCCGGAAGTTGCTGCGATGGCGGTGCGTGAAGAAACAGCAGCGTTGGAGGGCCTGCTAGCGGTCGCTGCGGAAGGTCTTAGCTTCAGAAAATCGCTGCGTGAACAGGGGAGCGGCGGAGTTGTTGCAAAGGGAAGAGGGCCGCGACTGGTTCACGGCGGGGAGGCGGCTCCTCGATGATTGCCGGTGGAGGGTTGAGATCGATGGGGAAAGATGGCCGAGACGCCGAGGAATTTTGACAGAGACTATAGGGTGCTGATGTCGGGATGACGAGGATGGCGATGAGATTGGATGGCGAGAGGATTTTTCTGTTCTTTTCTCTGCGAGAAAGAGACATCGAGAGAGAGGAGAGATTTGTGCTGAGGGAGACAAGATCTGTTATGGCGAGGGAGAAAAACGCGATCGAGAGAAGGAGCAATCTCAAAGCTGCGGCGTAAGGTTCTGATGAAAGGAGAGAAATAGATACAGGTTTTGTATATATATATATATATGCACATAAACTAGGTTTGACTATTCTTGATCGACAATAATTTTTCACACGCACACACTCGGATTAAATTAGAGAGAACCGGTTCTTGAGCGGGTTAATTGAGCTGGGCAGAAAAATAAAACCGGTTCGGTTCACGCGGGTATACTCGGGCTCGATTAATCAGTTTTTCGATCGATATAGCCAAAATAAAATAATTCGATTTGCACGACAATTTAAAAATAAGATTCGGCTATTATTTATAATATATATTTCGCTCATTATTAATTAAATAATAATACACACTTAAGCATTTAATTGACAGTTAGGCATTTAAATATAATAATAATAATAATAATAATAATAATAATAATAATAATAATAATAATAATAATAATTCCAAATACTTCGTAAACAAATGGGTTTACGAATCGGCCGGTTTCGACTATCGATTTATCGGGCTCAATTTCATAAAATTCGAATATACATAGCGCTCGAAAAATAAAATATGACAACCCGTAAATCTTTAAATTTACGCAACCGACATAATACATATTTATTAGTACACACTAACAAATACATTATCAAGTAATTAATTCACTTTGGAAAATTTAGTAAAATAAATAATAGTGCCAGTATATCCGAAAAATCCATTATTCAAACGGATTATATTCGGTTCACATAACTAAACTGAAATCGCCGTACGACGAATGTTTTTCCAATAAACGATCGAGTACTCCAACCTTTTATTTAAGTCGACATAGTGAGCAGTAAAATTAATATAACCTTATAAATAATATTCGATAAATAGAATACTCCGAGAAATTCTATAAATCAAACGGGGCGCTACACAAGTAGTCGAGACTAGTCCACACCTCCGGGTTGGACGGCTACTTATTTTGCACACCCTTTGGGGTGGGCAAGTGGTCGAAGAAAAAATCCACCATGACTAAGGCCTTCGGGCTGGGTGGTCGATCCTAGTGTTGGGTCGGTGAAGACACAGAGCTTATTGGAGACCTCGGAGGCCACTCGATGATTTCTACGTGGATTCTATTTTGTTTTTTACCTCAGTGGTAGGTCGACGAAATTCATTACAAATAGATCGGGCAGGTTGATGGTCTTATTTGGTTTGGTTTTGGTGTATTTGTGTCTTTGACCTCAGTGGCAGGTCGATGGAGTTCATTACGGATAGCTCGAGCAATGACAGGTCAATGGTTTTATTTGGTTTGGTTTTTTTGTATTTTTGTTTTTTATCTCAGTGGCAGGTCGATGAAGTTCATTACGGATAGCTCGGGCAGGTAGATGGTTTTATTTGGTTTGGTTTTTTGTATTTATGTCTTTGTCTTTGACCTGAGTGGCAGGTCGATGGATTTCTTTACGGATAGCTCGAGCAGTGACAGGTCGATGGTTTTATTGATTTGGTTTTGTAGTATTTGTGTCTTTGACTTCAGTGGCAGGTCGATGGAGTTCATTACAGATAGCTCGAGCAATGACAGGTCGATAGTTTTATTTGGTTTGGTTTTGTTGTATTTGTGTTTTTTATCTCAGTGGTAGGTCGAGAGAGTTCACTTGGGGCAGTTCACGGAGTTAGGTTATTCAGGTCGATGGTTTTATTTGGTTTGGTTTTGTCGAATTCGGTTTTTGGACATTAGGCCGTCAGGACATTTGGTTTTCAAGAGGATAGACAACATGGTTGAATTTTAAATTTTGAACTGAGGGGCGACAGGATGAGGTGATCGAAAAGGTTTACATTCGAGCGAAGAGAGCTCTAACATGGTGATGGAAAAACAATAGAAGGAGGTTCAAATTTTCAAATTCAAGACTTCGGGGAGTGGTCATTCGCTTTTCGACTTCCGTGGTCATTTGGTTTTCGATTTTTGACCTCATCAGCAGCCACTTGGTTTTCGACCTTAGTGGTCATTCGGTGTTCGACCTCAGTGGCAGGACATTCGGTTTTCGACTCGGTGGATTATTCGGTTTTCAATTTTTGACCTCAGTGGTCATTCGATTTTTGGTCTTCGACCTCATCGACGGTCACTCGATTTTCGACCTCATCAGTGGTCATTCGGTTATTGGTTTTTGGTTTTTGACCTCATCAGTGGTCATTCAGTTCTCGGTTTTCAACCTCATCGGCGGTCACTCGGTTTTCGACCTCATCGGCGGTCACTCGATTTTCGACCTTCGTGGTCATTCGGTTTTCTGCTTTCGACCCTAGTAGCGAGTCACTCAATTTTCAACCTTAGTGGTCATTCGGTGTTCGAACTTAGTGGCAGGATATTCAATTTTCAACCTCAGGGGTGATTTGGTTTTCGATTTTCGACCTCAACGACGGATCACTCGATTTTCGACCTCATCAGTGGTCATTCGATTTTGGCTTTTGGTTTCTGACCTCAACGGTGGTCACTCAGTTTTCGACCTCAGTGGTCATTCGGTTTTCGGTTTTCGACCTCATCGGCAGTCACTAGTTTTTTTACCTTAGTGCTCATTCGGTTTTTGGTTTTCGACCTCATTGACGGTCACTCGGTTTTTAACCTCATCAGTGGTCATTCGGTTTTTGGCTTTCGGTTTTTGACCTCATCAACGGTCACTCGGTTTTCGACCTCATCAGTGGTCATTCTGTTCTCGGTTTTTGACCTCATTGATGGTCACTCGATTTTTGACCTCAACGACGGATCACTGGGTTTTCGACCTCATTTGTGGTCATTCCATTTTGGTTTTCGATTTTCGACCTCATTAGCGGTCACTCGGTTTTCGACCTCAGTGGTCATTCGGTTTTCGATTTTCTATCTCAACAGCGGATCATTCGATTTTCGGTGTTCGATATCAGTGGCAGGTCATTTGGTTCTCGACTTCATTGACAGGTCATTCAAGTTTTCGACCTCAGTATAATTTGGTATCCGTTTGTGTCCCGGTGCTCATTTAGAGGTTTGGTGACGTTTTGGTGGTCGAGGATTTATTAAAATTATAACCTTAGTGCCAGGTTAAAGAAACAACCTAAAGAGGCATTTCACTCTTGGATCGAGTTATGCTTACTCGACCAGAGTGGGGGGGACTAGATGAAATGGTATATTATATTAAACCAGTTTTAATGGATAAAAAGAATATATTAGGGAATAAGCTTGCACATGGGCTAAGACACGTGGCATGATGGTATTGGTCAAGCCCAACTTGGGCCCTAAGATGCACTCCCCCTATAAAAGGGGGCTAAGGTATCTCATTAACTCATTCTCTCTCTTCATTCATTATTACACTCTCATTCTAGCGAGTGTTGACTTAGGCATCGGATGCCCGGCGCCGGGACCCCTCCCGGTGTTGGGTTCTTGACCGCGCGTCGTTACACGGCAAATTTGAATTTATAAATTTCCTAACTTACCTCTACTAACTAGTAGCAGTGGTGAGCAAAGGTCGATCCCACATGGAGTGTGGTATAAACAGCGAATTTATTATATTAATTAGATTAAAATAAAAATGGGGGGGGTTTGATTTAATATTAAACTACTAGCAAAATGATAAATTAAACTAATACTAGAGATGGATGATTAAAATGCAAAGATGATTATGAAATAGAAAATAAATAAATAATCTAGTGAATAAGAGAATGGAATCGGTTCCAGGTCGGTCTACACCCTCGAATAACTAGCCCAATTAATGCTTTTATCAAATTTCACTCATCTTCTAAAACTACCGGTCCAAGATAGCAATAAGCTCTGCTACCCGAATTTTTCCTTAATTTATACTTAATCGAAATAGGCTCTTCAATTAATTCTAACTAGCGAATAACTCGGAATAAGCTCTCCTAATTTAACCCACTAGTCGCATTAAAATCTAGGAAAATAGACCGACCTAAGCCACAAACACATAAGCTCGGTTCATGTAACTTATGTTGTGCTATCCCTAACAATGCACGACTGTTAGTTGCTACAAGCGAAATAAGAGCGACGACAATTACGGATCGAAGCCTCAAATCTAGCAATTAACATGCAATTCCTAACTTAGGTGATCAAGCTAAATTAAAAATCACACATTATGACATGAAACTAGAATAACACAAACAATTTTATACGACGAGTAAAACAAAATAAATTGCATTAATCAAACATAGTATTCGAGGGTTCAACGTCCCTAGAACCGAATAAATATTTAGCTACACATAGCTAAAGGATAAAAACAATAATAATTCATCATCTTCTCCAAATAAATAAATAAAGCAAATAATATAAAACAAACTCCTTTGTCCAATGATTCACGGCTCAAAGTGAAATCTCCCGCAGCAAAATAGTTGAACTTTTCTCCTGCCTCTGTACACGTCCAAAAGTCTCTACCAGAACAAAAGAATAGATAGATTCTTTTTCTTTTTTTTTTTCTTTTCTATGCCCACGTAAATTCTAGGATAAGAGTCCCACACTTCAACAACTCTCTAGCCTCTTTCTCCGCAAAGGACTTCCAAAAGTTAAGAGTCCATAAAATAATTTAAGCATAATAACTGCAAAATAAACACAAAATCGAATATTGGTGTACGTTTGTTCATAAAATAAGATACGTGAGAAAACTTGAATAATACACTAAAATCTAATACTCAAATATGTAAATTAAATCCCAAGAATTCTCACGTAGCAAATCTCCCCAAACTAAAACGTTGCTTGTCCCCAAGCAACATAAAACTAAAACACATAGAACGGACAAAGCAAATAAGTATGTGAAATTTTCGCTCAGGTCCTCACACATCTCACATAATGCATAGTCACAACTCTCCAAATTAATAACCCCAGACTCGAAATGAAATCACCTTTAGAACGCCAACAATCAAATATCAATTCAGTGAATTACCGCAGCTCGTCAATCTCTTCGCCGAGTATACCAATCATGCAACTGACGACATCCCTTTCTTTGCCAACCGGTTTAGTTCCTCTTCGCTTCTAGCCAGAAATCAAATGTCTCGATATTTTTTTTTCTTCTTCTTTTTTTCTTTTTCTTTTTTTACTTGGGAACGGCAGCTTCGTCACAGTCTATTTAGCTATTCGTGCTAGAGTGTTGCGCTAAAGCTTCACAGACTGGCAGCTGTTGCAGCCCACGATTTTTTTTTTTTTGTATTCAAAACCCTTTTTATTCTTTTTTTTTTCTTTTTTTTTTTCGAGACATTCAAATCCCAACTTTCCACGTCAAGTTACCTCACACAATTAACATCAAGCAGAATAGTCACCAACACATTTCAAAAATATAAACAGTTCGAGACCAACTCACCACGAATAAAACACATAAATGTCAACCGTCATGTCTTTGTCCCTCGAATGAAAACACCTCAAGAATTTAACCAGAAATCATTAATCCAAGTCATCATAACTAGCACGTTAATATCAATGGACACTCAAATCATCATTGCGAAATTCCACATACGACTATACCAAAAAGCAATCATTTTTTTTTTCTTTTTCTTCTTCTAAACCAAAACCAAAGCATCTAAACAAGCAGAAACAACCAAATATGACCCTATACTAATCAACAGCAACAAAAGCCAAACCAAAACAAACCAATATGCACAGAATAAGCACACAGACACACCCATCAACAACCCTCCCCAAACTAAATTTTACTATAAAGCAAATTAGGGGAATCGAAATCACCGGATCATCGGCGGGTAGTCCTCCTCACTCGTGGCTGTGCATTCTCCTTTGCTCCCTCGGACAGTCTCGCCACCTGCTCCTTCAGCTGGCCGTTCTCCAGTTCCAACCTCCTGTTCTCCTCCTCGAGCTCCTCGACTCGTCTTCGCAGCTGGTCCTCCATACTTGAGCTGCTACCATGGTTCGGGCTCGGTAGGTCTGGGAGCGGCACTGCAACCTGAGGCATCATCGGGTAGTCCATCTTGATATTGCGGCTGACACGAATCGTCGTGTACTCTGGGTTCGGACAGAGCAATGAGTTCGCCTTGGGCGATCCGCCAAAAATAATCGTTATCCTTAAACAACAGATTTAACTGGCCCGGTCCCAACAAGCTTGTGTCTAATGTCGACACCCTTCCAATCGGCACTCCTCCCCGCAGATCCACCCCAGCATGCTCAGCAATGCACATGATTAATCCTCCCAGCGCTATCTCGTTGTTCCGAGCACCTACGGCGAGCAATGTCCCAACGTAATGGTCGTCTGAGCGCATCGCGTGGCCATGGAGCATGCCCCATATCCGCCGGATCATGTCGCTGTCCACAATGTTTTTATTCGAGCTCTGGCCGGTGTATAGATACACCATCATCCTCTGGACATAGCGGATAACTGGATTGCGGATGGCCGTGCTGCGTGTCCCGGTTCCTGTTGCGGCAAACTGACTCCAAGCATCCTTCTCCATCTCGAACGAACTAGCTGCAGGGGCATCATGAGGTAGCCCTAATGCATTTGCAACCTCAAAGTAGCTCCATTCGAACACTCGGTTCCCCAGCTGAAACTCCAACACATCCTCAATCTTCTTTCGGAAGGTGCTGAGGAACTCGAGTGTTAGGTCGACGAACACTGGCCAGTTTCCTGTCATCACCTTCCTCCACCCCATAACGTCTAGCATCTGCATCACATCATCGTGCAACCCAAGAGTTTTCAACAGAAACTCATCAACATATATAGTGGGGACTATCTTCCGCTCCGTCAACCGCTCGTAAGAATTGGCTTCAGCACACGAATGGAATTGAATACCATGAGTGTTGGGGAAGTTGATGGGCCCTCTTCTGTCCTCTTGTGCCGGGACAGGGTCGACAGTGGGTTCGGCTAGGAGGGTGGCGAAGGCTCATCTATCAACCTAAGCCTCTGAGAGGTCCGTTTCGACGGGCCCGGCTGCTCTGTATTCTCCTTTGAAGGTGCAATCTGGACAGGACCAGTGACTCGGGCTGATCGACGGACAGCAATGACGGCTTCCTGCACCAGCGGAGCCTCTCCTGATTTGGCTCGGGCTCGGGTTCGACGGTCGGAGACTCTCTATCAACGGCTGTGGCACTCTTCTCTGTCGATGGCTTGGGCTTAGGTGTCGGGTCAATGACCACTGCTCGTTTTTTCCTCAGAGAGCCAACAGCCTGTGACAAGACCCGAGACGACCGACGAGTGGATGAGACCTGTTGAGGTTTGGGTTCGGGGGCCCGAGACTGTAGCAAACCGGAAGACTCCTCCGTCGGTTGAGTTTCCTTCTGAAGCGACTCAGCGTCGGTCGCCTGAGGCGGTGGTGAACCAGCAGCCTGAGAAGCTGGCGAATCGACGGCTGCGGCCCTTTTCCTGGTGGTCAGTGGAGTTCCTCTCGGCATGGACTCGACGGCCGGCGGCTGTGACATATCGGGGCCCTGAACTTTCAACGAACCCGCTGCAACCCTCTTCCTGGTGGCCGAAGAGGATTTTCTCGTAGGTGCAGCGGATGGTGGCTCGACGGCGTTGGTTCTCCCTCTCCTCGGCCGCGACGGGCGGTTCTCAGCGGTGACGGGTCGGCCGACCAACTCCCGCGGCCTCTCCTCCGGTCGAGGTAAAGCCGCCAAATCGACTTCCAATTGCTCCATCGCTTTGCTCATTGCGTCACCCATATTGGATTTTTGCTCGAATTTGTGAAGAAAAAGCAATTCGCTTGAAATTTTTGAGCTCTCAAAAACCCTAGCTTTTTCCCTTTTTTTTTTCGCTCTGAACTTCTGTATNGCATTTGTATCAGATTTTTCATCAAGCTATCATATAAAAATCATATATTTCATATTAAAATAATAATAATAATAATAATAATAATAATAATAATAATAATAATAATAATGATAATAATAATAATAAAACGAGCAAAATATTGGGTTGCCTCCCAACTAGCGCCTTTTTTTATTGTCGTTGGCTCGACTTATTACTTCCCTTTTTTTTTCTAAGTTGAAGGCGGTGCCTCCAAAACAGCCCTCTCCACATCTTGAGTGCGGAATCCCTCGTAAAACGGCTTAAGTTGATGCCCATTCACTTTGAAAATGTTCTTCGTCTTCGGGCAATAAATCTCCACGGCCCCATGAGAAAATACTTTGGTGATCACAAAGGGCCCGACCCATCTCGAACGTAGCTTCCCAGGAAATAACTTCAATCGCGAGTGAAAAAGTAGAACTTTCTCCCCCTCGACAAAGTTTTTCCTTGATATTTTGGAGTCGTGAAATGCCTTCGTCTTCTCCTTATAGATCAAGGAGTTCTCAAATGCATCATTTCTTATCTCCTCAAGCTCGCGAAGTTGCAACTTCCGTTGGATCCCCGCCTCATCAAACTCATAATTGCACTGCTGCACTGCCCAGAACGCTTTATGTTGGAGCTCCACCGGTAAATGACACGGCTTCCCGAAGACGAGCCTATATGGGGACATCCCGATGGGGGTCTTGTATGTTGTCCTGTATGCCCATAGCGCGTCTTCGAGCCGGATACTCCAATCCTTCCGGTTAGGCTTGACCGTCTTCTCAAGAATCGACTTAATCTCTCGATTGGACGTCTCCGCTTGACCGCTCGTCTGCGGGTGATAGGCGGTGGAGAGTCTATGAACGACCCCATACTTCCTCAATAAAGCATCCACCGTCATATTGCAAAAATGAGTCCCACGGTCACTTATCATAGCCCTTGGAATCCCGAACCTAGAGAAAATATTTGATTTAAGAAATCCTGCAACCACTTTTGAATCGTTAGTCCGGGTGGCTTTTGCTTCCACCCACTTCGACACATAATCAACAGCAAGTAGTATATAGACATTACCAAACGAAGGTGGAAAAGGACCCATGAAGTCAATGCCCCAAACATCGAAAATCTCACAAATGAGAATCGGGTTTTGAGGCATTTGATTTCTCTTCGAAATATTACCTGTCCTTTGGAAATTGTCGCAAGACTCACAAAAATCATATGCGTCCCTGAATAGGCTCGGCCAGTAGAATCCACTCTCGAGGACCTTATGGGCTGTACGCTTCGCACCAAAGTGTCCACCACACGCAAGAGAATGACAGAACGCTAGGATGGACTGAAATTCCTCATCCGGGACGCACCTTCGGATCACTTGATCGGAGCAGTGTTTCCAAAGGTAAGGATCATCCCACATGTAATATTTGGCATCAGTCTTCAGCTTGTCCCTTCTCGCCTTTGTCATACCTGTAGGAAAAGCATGAGCAACAATATAGTTTACCAAATCGGCATACCATGGTTCTGCTGCTACCAGGGGGGTTAAAAAATCTGTTCTGCCTCATTTTCTGCTACCGGCCCACCCGATAAAACTGAATCGGGTCGAAATTCCTCGAGTTGGAATAAACGCTCATCCGGGAAACTCTCGCTGAGGTCTAGCTGCTCCTCCACATGTTTCAATCGGCTCAGGTGGTCAGCCACTGAGTTTTCGGCACCTTTCTTGTCCCGGATCTCCAAATCGAACTCTTGAAGTAGGAGTATCCATCGAATAATCCTCGGTTTTGACTCTTTCTTTGTGAATAAGTGCCGAATCGCTGCATGATCAGTAAATATAATAACTTTAGTACCAATAATATATGATCTAAATTTTTCAAGAGCAAAAACGACAGCTAATAATTCTTTTTCCATAGTCGTGTAGTTCTCTTGAGCGAGATTCAAGGTTCTCGAAGCATAGTAGATCACGTGGGCTGCCTTGTCACCCTTTGGCCTAGGACGGCACCAACAGCATGGTCGCTAGCGTCGCACATGATCTCGAACGGCAAATCCCACTTCGGTGGCAGAATAATCGGAGAAGTCGTCAACCGCTCCTTCAATGTGTCAAAGGAAGCTTTGCACTCCTCATCGACCTTGAAGTCCACGTCCTTCTGTAAGAGCCTACAAAGTGGTGAGGCTATCTTTGAAAAGTCCTTGATGAACCGCCTGTAGAAGCCTACATGACCAAGAAATGAACAAACTTCCCGCACGCTAGCAGGGTAAGGCAAGGCCGTTATAAGATCAACTTTAGACTTATCTACTTTTACTCCTTTTAAAGAAACAATATGGCCTAAAACTATACCTTGTTTAACCATAAAATGACATTTTTCCCAAATTAATACAAGGTTAGTTTCAGCACATCTTTTTAAGATCAAAGAGAGGTTCTCGAGACATACCTCGAAGGAGTCGCCATACACACTAAAGTCATCCATGAACACTTCTATGATGTTGCCAACATACTCGGAAAAAATACTCACCATACACCTCTGAAACGTGGCCGGTGCATTGCACAATCCAAATGGCATACGACAGTAGGCGAACGTGCCATAGGGACACGTGAACGTCGTCTTCTCCTGGTCCTCCAGAGCTATAGGGATCTGAAAATATCCTGAAAAACCATATAAGAAACAATAATAAGAGTGACCAGCCAACCTCTCAATCATTTGATCAATAAACGGTAGAGGAAAGTGATCCTTACGCGTCATCGCATTCAACTTACAATAATCAATACAGACTCTCCAACCAGTCTGTACTCTAGTAGGAACTAACTCACCATTGTGGTTTTCAACCACAGTTACCCCAGATTTCTTGGGCACTACCTGAGTCGGACTTACCCATCGGCTGTCAGAAATAGGATAAATCACCCCGACATCCAGCAACTAGATGACCTCCTTCATTACCACCTCTATCATGGGTGGGTTCAGCCTCCGTTGTGGCTCTCGAGATGGCCCGGCTCCATCCTCGAAAAAGATACGGTGCATACAAATCGACGGACTGATCCCACGCAAATCCGCTATCGTCCACCCGATCGCCCGCTTGTTATCCTTCAACACTTTCAGCAAAGATGACTCCTGGGCAGCCTCTAAACATGCTGAAATGATCACGGGCAGCGT